CTGCAGAGGAAGGTGGGTCTTGGACAAATCCAAATCCAAATCGAAACTTCGGGACCTCGGTGTTGGCTGAGAAAATCACTTTGAATTAAAAAATGGCCTACGGGAAAGGGACCTTGTCCTTCAGCTGTAATTAGGCTAACCTTCAGTTTATGACCCAAAATGAAAGCAGAGGTTTTAAAATATAAAGAAATATCCAGATTCTACTAACTCTAGTAGAATCACAGGTATAAAAATTGTGAGCAAAATTTTTAAAATGCATTTCTTGGCATGGGATAGTTATGCACAAAAGCAAAAGTTGATAGAGCCTACAGTTCCAACCAACTTTTTCTCTTTTATAGGTAGGGAATGTTATTTTAATATTCATACTCCTTATTTTATTTTTAAAGTTGGGTACACATTACTATACGGTGGTCTTTCTTAGAGTACGATATTACCAGACACTGGAGAATTTAGTTTTCAAAAGGAATCAAAAAGAGAAAAAAAATCTATAAAGTTTGCATTAGTAAGTGTTGGAGCTTTATTGGGAGAAGGGAGACAAGAAAACTAGTATAAGTTTGTGAACATTATTCTTTTCATCAGGTGATACATGTGGGTCAGTGTACTTTGAAATTTGGTGATCATAAAAGATTGAAAAGGGACTTAGATTTTGCAAATGTGCAGAGTGAGAGTGCTTACCTAACCACGAGGTACTTATGCAATGCATGGATCGAGACTCCAATCCAAAATCAGTCTTGAGGAGGAGAAGCAAAGGGAGGCTGGGCTGGTAAAATGAGGACATAAACAGGAATTCTCTCAGCGAGTCCTGTCCATCGGAAAGGGCTCAATGCCAGTGAGAGTTTTGGATATGTGATCCGTCATTGTCAACTTTAGTTGTCCAAAGGACAATTTATTTGAACTTTGAGAGCTTCCCTAACCAATTAAATGATGAAAGGAACATAGAGAGGAAGACTATTTGAAGGGAACCTAAGTTCTCAAAGCCATCTTAAAAATAAAAAAAAACCCAAACCCAAATCTCTAACTGTACTCTAATTTCATAGGCCCACATATAATAGGATCCCTTCGTTCATTCACCAAAAAATGGATTGATTTCCTGTGCTGGGGACTGTGAATATAGAAGAAGCAAAAAGAAGGCCAGTGTCAAATAGTCTAGTAGGAGAGCTGGGTGATCTGTTACGTGTAATAGAGGCATTAGAGGTGGTGGCTCATGATTGGCTTCTCTTGCCAAACTGCCAGGGCTTGAATTCTAGTTCTCTCACATTCTAGTTCTGTGATCTTGAACAAGTAAAGCAAGACTAATGAAAGTATACACATCATAGCATTCTGAAATGCATTATAATGCAGGTACAGTTCTTACAGTGTCTTTAATTTCTGCAGTAACAGGGTGCTCAGTATTTGGGGAGAGTAGGTAAGAAAGGAGCAAGCCTCCTACTCTGGATTCAATGGTAGGCAAAGAGACCTTCCAGGAGAGATGAGATCTGAATGGAGTCTTGAAGTAATAGGGGTTACAGAGACAAACAATGTCTCAAGAGTGTTCTTTCTACGCTGGGTGGCAAGGGGAGCATGCAAACACAAGGATTTGCAGTACTTGGAGTGCTGGGTGAACAGATCTAGATTAGGATTTGAAATTCGGATATAATTCTTGAAAAAACCAAAACATGTCCGAATGTTTTCGTGGTCTGCATGTTGGTTATCACATCCTTTTTATTTGCAATGAACATTTCCCCCTTCTTCTTCTGCCATTAGTTGCTCTGCAGCTTTATTAAATTCTGGGCTCATACACAAAGGACTCTTTTTAAAAATCTGATTTTAGTGGGTCGTCTTTATGCAAAACAACCTGCATTTTATTCTAGTATTCCTCAGAACAAATACAATTTTGGGCCGAGTCTGTCTCCCTTCTACTGTCTATGAACACACACCCAAACAGATTACTCTCTTACTCAAGCAGTAGTCTAGTCAGATACCACTCACTGTGATTCATCGTTTATTTTTCTCTTTGCAGACTTCAGGGTCCAATGCTGCTCAAGAAGTTTCTTCTTTGGAATTACCATCTTTCCAGATCAACCACCATCCTTTGGTATAAGAAGTCTTATTTGATGAAACTCTACAGAATATTGATAGGATTCTGAGTTCACATCCCAGCAATTTTTATTTGCCTTCATAATGAGACAGCTAAATGTAGGCCCTTCCTTCTCAACACTGATTATGCCTGACTTGTGAGTTTAAACATGGCCTTCTGAAGAGTGTATTTTTCCATGTAAGTACCTCTACAGTATCTTAGGGACTGAGGGTCTCAATAATGCTCATTGGATGAATTCACTATACATAAAGGATAGTTCATAATACAAACTCCTTAACAACATACTAAGATGATTACATTACCTTTCCAGGTCTCTTTGAAAATTAGTTACATGTCTCTTGGTAACTGTTTTGGCAGATAAAAGGACTAATTATATTTTATTAAATTCCAAAACACTTTTTTATTGTGAATTTGGTGGGGGTATTGCTTTTCTGATCATCAATTTCGTATTTGCCAGTATAAACTATTTATTTATTAAGCCCACCACCTCCCTAGCTTGAGCTAAGGTTTACTTAGGGAATAGAGTTCATAGGGATAATGAGTAGAGCATATTCAAAGATACTGAAATTCTTGTAATTGAATATTTTTAAAATTATGCTTCCATTGAATGATATGGATGATGATACAAATGAATTCAGAACTTAGAGTAACATCCATGAATATTAGGTTCTATTAGAATATTAGAGAGAATTGTATAGTCATTTATTTAACCTCTGTTAGGTAGCAGTCATTCATTGCAAGGCTAATGATTTCACATAACTTGTCTCATTAAATCTTTGTATTATCTCCTCCCAAATTAAGGTAGTTATTATTATGATTGCTTAATAGTCAATATCACAGAGGCTTACCGTGATAGAAGGCTTCATTCAAAGTCACACAGAGCAGTGTTGAAAGGGGGACTTGAACTCAAATCTACTTGACTCTAGAGCCAAAGGGCATTGTGAGATTGTATAAACGTTATTGTTAGATAAAGTTAAATACCTTGACAATTCTGGGAAAGTAACTTCAGTTTTCTTGGTCTGAGTTCCTTTTTCTTAATGAGGAACCTGCCATAGATAATTTCTAAAGCTTTTTATGACGCTATAAATCCTTGTGAATAAATGTCACCTGTTTTCTTATTTTAAAATTACCTTTTTAAAGCCCATGAAACATACAGTCAGGCAGAAAAGCTGCATGCACCAACTGGCTATCTATTGATTTTAATAGCTACATATAGTTAGCTGGGTTGGGCAAGTATTAATATTTATATATCTATGTACTATTTGACCTATTAAAATTGCTATTACCTCTGCGATAGAGTCAAATGCATAGAAGAAAAATAATTCATTGAAATTTCATGGAAGTTAACTAAATTCAAACATCAGTCCGTATTTTGTTTATTAAGTATTGATTACCAAACTTATATAAATATAAAAGTTTTTATTGGATATACGCTTGTTTTGGCTAAGCTTGTTCCTACAGTATGGTCTAGCAGTATGTGCATGCTAGGGGACAGGCACAGTTCTAGATCCACATCTAGAATCAACTCATGTTTTCAGTATTTTCTTTACTCCCATGAACCAAAAAACAAAAATAGCTTGTGTCAAAGTATATTCACTATTTTAGTAACCAAAAAAATAACTGAATGTACTATACTTTGAATTAACACGTGTTCAATAATGACAATTTTTTTCTAGGTTTGCAAGTACCTTTTCAAACTTCTCCAACAAAATGGTATAATATGTGAAAGAGAAAATCTAGATTAATTTTTATGTCTATATAATGAATGTCTACAAATTGAATGGGAAGATTATCATAAAAATTTCCCTCTCATCCTAAAGAATAACTAAAGTAATTTGGTATTTTGAGGTAAATTAGAAATAGTTTGAACTCTTAATCTGTCATGGACTTTAGGTAGCGAAATAGAAATACATTGAATCTTTCCATTATACTTATAATCAGTCAAAACTGATTTTTCATATGTTAACATTTGATGACATTTGGCTCTTGTGGAACAAAAAGTTTGGTCAGCACAAATAACTGAGAGTTTTCTCTCCAACATAAACAGTCATATAACTAAAAGTGAACTCGATCTCTTTGTGCCTATAAGGTTCTCAGTCACAGAACTTGGCTAGATGAAATGAAGACCTTTCCTATCAAGGCGTCAGAATAACAGACATACCAAGGCACACACTCCCATGACATACAGAGAGGACTTTGTGAGGCCATCCTAATTAAAACTAGCCATCGGAGGAACAGGAACCCAAGAAGAGCTAAAATTGAACTTCCAGGCCTCTCTAAATGTAGTAGAGACCAAGAAAAAAAGTGTTTTTCTTAAAAAACAAAAATCCCTAACCTCCCCTCTACAATGGGCTGAGATGAAACTTCAGCTTTCTGTGGGATGCTGGGAGTAAACACCTGGTCAGCAGAAAACAGAAGAAATCCATCGTCTGTTCTTCATGTTCTTAACACGATGGCCACAACTCAGAAATATGTCTCTGTATCACTTACTTTTCCATATCCTAAACAATTAATGCTAAACCGTGACTCCAAAAACAGGCTAATAAGCCACAAAATAATCCAACAGTACTTTAAAATGAAGTTTAAAAATTATAGTCTACAAACAAAACTGAATTTCCCTTAGGAGACATGTGTTGTAATAACAAAGAAGAACAGTTTAAAGGAAAAATATAGAAGTCATCAAGATGGCCCACATCTTCTGAAGAGCAAGGTTATTATGAAACACCAGATATATTGATTGATCAGTAAACCAATTCACTACTTCTTGACCACAGAGTTACTTATGTCAACCAGAAGACTATTGTTTGAAATTCAAAGGGAATTGAAAATACAGTTTTCTTGCTTTATTATTTTAATGTAGCATTCTACTAAGCATGTTGCATGAAAAAATAGTACTCAACAAAAAATGGAGGGTCAGTCATACCTTAAATTCCTCCAAGATTTTGTAATTTTTCCCATGATATTCACAAAAGTTTTTCACTTCTTTGCACTCAGGACAGCATCCATTGTGTTCCACTTTAGTACACTTTGGGTGAATTTTAGGGCATTCCGGCTGGTCGCAAACAGGTCCATCCAAAGCACATACACATGGACAGTTGGAATGCCCTGGGAAAAATCGTTCTCCCAACTTGTATACAAAGCCGCTGTCATCCACACACCCTTTCCCTCGGTAGTCATCAAAGATCAGATTGTCATTACTGGAGGTCTGGTCGCCTTCATCAGCAGGATAGTCTTCATGACTGATGGCAGCAGAAGTGACCAATCCAGGGATGACCAACAGAAGTATGCAGGCTTCATGAATATGAAGAAGAGCCATCCCCCTCCTCAAAGACTTCTGGATGTGGTCCTAATATTAAATATACCCAGCTGCTTCCATGGGAATACAAGAAGGGTAGGCTGAAAATAAATATTTAAAGAGAATGATTTGGCATATAAAAAACAATGTAGAAATAATTAACGCCAAACTCTTAACCTGTTGGTTTGGGATCAGTCACAAAGATACTAAGACCTCAAGTAGACTAAGTTCATGCAGCTGCCTACATTCTATTAAGAAGTTTGGAGAGCCAATCCTTGGCAATATTTGCATGAAAATGCCATTTGTCAAGGACTTTACCTAGGAACCTTCAACTTGGATTGACCTGAATTCGAAAGGTTTGTGTTTCACTGGATTATTAGAATTGGTTTTACTGGGTCTCGAAAGATGGTGGTAAATAGCTACTTAGAAGTAGCTCAAGAATATTTGGATTCACAATATTACTCATAAAACTGAATAAATCAGTGATGGAATATATATATATATGTGTGATACATATATCTGTATAATTACATATATAGGTAATAATCATCTGTATCAAAACTGATAAGTTGGTCAGGTAAGAATGTAATTCTAAAAGAAAGGGGGTCAAACCACAGTTAAAGGTAAATTTTGGTTGGGACCGAGCTAGTAGAAAGCCCTTCTGCTTCTGTATGTCCATAATTGGTGAGCCGTTGCTGGTCTCCCATGAGCAAGAATCTGCATTCTGAAATATAACTAAGGCTCAGAACAGCATGCACTATTTCACACTGAATAAAATTAAAGTTAAAAGAATAAATAGCTAACTAGAACGTAGCATATTGCACAAAATTTACAAAAATATAACTATTTGTACTATTGTCCACATCTTGATTTCATTTAGGAGGTAAGCTCCTAGTGGGCAAGAAAGACGTGTCTGCTAATATTTTTACAGCAATTTGAAACTATCGTTCATGTGGTATTCTTTGAATTAATGACTGTGTTAACTTAACACTGTCTTGAAAACATGATTCTCCTTACAAATACCAAAAAATATTTGCATGTAGGCCATCTGCCTTGCCAAGTCAGCACAAAAGTGTTCATGGAACTTTGGAAGCACTGTGATAGGATGTCACTGTTAATTCGTAGTAAGTGTGTCCTATTAGTTTTGGTGGCATTGAGTCTGGTAAACTGTACTTAGTCCTAGTCCGTGGTCTGGAGTGTTGGCAGTGAGCTTTTATACAAAGATTTAGAGTGACCAAATCACACAAAGGCTCTGGGGAAATTGTGTCTTTGAGGGGGAACAGGCAAGGAAAACACTGCCAGGTAGTTCATTTGTCTATTTATATGCTATTGGCTTTATACCAATATTGCTAAGATTGTCCATAGGGAATTCATAGATCATTTTTAAATGTCATTTACTGGTTAATTTTCAGATCACAGAAAGACTAATGATAAAAACCACCTCTTTTCAGTCTGACCTATACAGATGCTGATTTTTTAAAAAGATACCTTGAGGAAACTTTTCATGTACTGTTATATTTTCTTGTGTATTTTAAGTTAGATATGCAAATTCTAGTAATAGAAAGATGCTAGACTATTTATGCTTTCCTCCCAAAGAAAGACTGCTTTCTAATATTAATATGCTTTGGGGGGGAAGTAATGATAATGTAGAGGGGTTTCTTTTAAAATGTGTCAAAAATAATGATTCATGACAGTACAAGAAAATGCAAACCTGTAATTCTACTTCAGAAGCTGCGAGCTCCATTGACAAAGCATTTTTCTTTCTCTTAAATTACTACAGAAGCCACAAGCATAACCGAAACCTCTACAAAAAGCATAGATATATTTTACTAATTAAACATGCTAAGATACATCGCTCATGCATTTGGAAAGTTTGTGTTGGAAGAAAGGGGAGCTATTGTGCTTCCCTATAGTATTCCTATAGTAGCTGTCAATACGTGCAAGATATTCCACATAAAATACACATATCATTCAGCGTCAAAAGGTTATAGGCAGAAAATGATCTCTTTTGAAAGCTACAGGTAGGCATTAATGTATAAGGTCATAATAAATGTAAGCTGAGAGGTAAAAATAGGGATGTAAGACATACTTTATATAAACATTAAGCATGCCTTTATTTTAGGAAATTCATTTTTAAATCTGCATGAAGAAAACAAGGATTTCTTTTTATTATAACAAAGTTCTATGGCTATGTTTAAAAAAACCAGCCTTCTTTATAAATTAGGCTTTTTAGTACAATTTATGACACTATTTAGGAAAAGAAACATTAAAAAAAAACAACAAATGAAATGTTTACCTGAAGGTTTCAATAAGTAAAGCAAACATTGCCAATATGAGGATTACTTCCAAGCTAAACTTTCCCCCACCCCACCCCAGATTGCTAACATACGATTTTAAATGACTAAATCTATTTATTTTGGAGGGGGGGGGGGAGAAAAACTCATGTCAGAAGATACACTTACCTAATCACCCTGGAGGGTAATGGTGGTGGTGGTGGGGGTCACAGACCAGTAGGAACTAAAAGGTCAAGTATGCTTTAGGAAAGCAGTTCCTCTTTAATTACCCAAAGAATACATTTTCAGGCATTAATTTTAGGCATTCCATTCTCTCTACCTCCCATTTCAAAACACAGTCAAGAAGCAGTCTCCCGCCCTGCCAGGCAGAAACACAGCAGACACACATAAGAAATCAGCTTTGGACCTCTCTTCAGAATTCAAAGCAAGAAGCAAAGCTGGTCTTGTAGAAATCCAGATCCTCGTAGTAGAATCATGTCGAACTTATTTTTAGCGTTTTCCAGGATCCTTCTATGAAATTTCCCGGCTGATTACGCCTCCTCCACACATGAGTTCACTTACACAGTGTTTGCTACGGCAGTAGAGGTGATTTGGCTAGGCTCTCAGGATCACAAACAGCAACAGCATGGTGAAGCTGAAAGCCCGCTCCGCCGGCAACACCAGCAGCTTCATCCACAATATGTTGCTTGCATCCCCTCTTACACACCAGAAAATGTTAACTGTGGACGTGAAGGCAAGGAGGAACTTTAGCTGGGCTTCTGCACCACTGAGAGCAGTTTGCAGACTGCTGATTTGGAGCTCGTTCTGCCAGCAGCCGGGAATTCCTCAGCACCGCGGACAGCGCCAACAACTGGCTCCCCAGCCCAGCGCGGTCGAAATCCCCAGGCTGCTGCTTCAGCCCGCGCTAGAGCGTTCCCCCAGCAGACGCGCTTTCTCTCTACAGCGGATGCGTGCGGGAGGAGGGGGAAAGGGGCTGGCTACGTGGGGGATGCTCATTTGCATTGAAATCACAACAACAACAAAAGCATCGTAATTATGCCTAATGTATTCTTGGATGGGCTGCAGAGATGAAAGTTCCGCAAGAGCCCGGCATTTAGATTTAAACCATCTGCAGTCCCGGATTATTATTAATAGATAAAGGCGTACTCATTGCCCAAGAATCAGTGAAAGTGAGCGTTCGCACCTTCTATTGGCCTCTGGAGGTGCAGACAGGTTTTCCTAGGGTAATATGATTAAACTTCAGCTCTTTCTGCAGTTCGGGTTTGATTAAAAAAAAAGTAGCTAGGTTCTTCTGCAGTTTGTTCTCTAACATAAAAAATCAATCTCCTGTAATTCATCTAGTCTGTCATTAGGCGTCATTGTATAGCTGTTTCTTCTAAACCTCTAGCAAAACAGCCGTGTCTGGCTTCTTATCAAAACGAGAGAAAGGGAAAAGACGTAGACACGAATCAATGCACAGAAAGTTCTATTTTATTTATTTTTTAATAATTGGAGTGAGGATTAAAGCACATATCCAAACCATATTTTGAAACAAATTGTAAATGCTGCCTGCTGGCATATTTAACCAGACATTTACTGATCTTGGGGCGACTGGAGGCATTTTCAAGCCATGAGGGGAATACCCCTCCGCAGTAAGATATGCTGACCATCAAGACCACTTTCGAATCGTGCCATCAGAGTCTCCGGAATACAGACTCTGTCCATCGTGGGAAAACACCACCGTGTGTGCTTCCGTCTCATGGCCCAGCAATTTGTGAATCTGCCCTGATTTAAGATCTAGCAAATGGACAACCCCATTGCCGCTCGCCTGAGCTAAAACTCGACCTGAAAGAGAGAGAGAGAGAGAAAGAGAGAGAGAGAGAGAGAGAGAGAGAGAGAGAGAGATCTAAGTTTTACTTTGAACAATGGAACATTCAATTTTGTTTCAACTTTAATTTCTCTTAGATGCCAAGCATTAAGGATAAGTTCCTTTCTGTCTGTATTTGGAATGGGCTGAGTAAAATTAAGACAAACTAATGATGATAACATTTCAGGATGAGTCAGTGAAAAACAGTGCCCCACCTACCTTTCTTGCAGAGGTCAGCAAGTGCCCTGCTGTTCATATATTTGTGATTAAGAAAGTGTTGTGAGAACATTGTTTAAAGCAAGTATGAGAGCGGTTTCCTTTTTCAAATAAAATGTATGTTTAGAAGTCTTTAAAAGCATATGTTTGGAAACTTAATTATAAGAAAGATACATAACAGATATTTAAAAATTTTTGAATTAATTATATTTCAAACTTATTTATTATGATTCTGTTTAAATCATACATTAAAATACCATAATATACATTTTCTTTCAGAGTTATGATATTCATGAAAAAATATTATACTGGTTTGTATGTAAGATCAATTTGGATATCTTCATTTCAAAGATGACTTAGTTTTTTCCATTCTAATATATATCCAAATTTCAGTTAAAATAAATTGTATTACACAAGAGAGCCAAATACAGCACAGAGTAGTCCCCTAATTTTTATCGTGAATTTTTGGTGTGCATTTTTCCCTAAAGTGAAAACATATTATTAATCCAATTTCAATGAACACATTTGGTAAGGAAGTCCAATAGCAAGCTACCAGGAAATGTGGATGCAACTAAAAGGAATAGAATATATTTACAGAAGCTCAGTTCTTAGGATGAACAAGAACATTAGTACTACACATGATGTTATCTAATCACAATTAGAAGATAGGTGTGCTATCATGTGCTAACTAGAAATAATAGTTACAATGCATTAAGCTCTATCTACATGCTAGATACTATATCTAATATTTGATCTTGAGTGTTCCATAAACTACTTTCAGTGATCTGGTGATAATGACATAGATGGAGCAGGAAGGTTTGCAGGGCTAAGCAACTTCCTCAGGATGACACCCTAAGCATGGAGCCAGCTACTTAATCACAAGCACATTGAATTTAGAGACTGGGCATTTGGCTTTTATGGTTTTTACATCTAGAATGACATTGTTAACAATGATACCTTTTTGTGGGAGGTGATACATTGTGAAAAAAGAATTTTTTTCACTCCATAAAAATCATTCTATGAGACTACCATAAAAATCTCAATAAAATATTTTATCACAATTGATACCTCCAATGGTCATGAATAGCTCCCAAAACAGGGAAAAGTTATAAAAGTAAAGCTAACCATGATAAATATGGTCGATTTGCAAACTTTTATAACTACTGGGCTTCTTCATCTAGAACAATGCCTGACACAGCAAAGATCCTTAGGATGGATTAGGGTGTCCAAAGCAGCAGATGTGAATATTTATTATAAACCCTCTTGTACTAAGTCTTTGCTGACAGAGGCATTGCATGTGGATTTCCCCATCAGCTCTACTCTATGGGCAATTGCTGTCGTGACTTTCTTAAGAAAGGAACAAATAACCTTTTTTCTTATAGTTTTCTTATTGCTACATCCTGGAAAAAGGAGATATACTATTCCCATTTTAAAAAACCATGCAAAATACAGTACAGAAACCCATTAAAATAATAATAAAAAAGATTTAGTTAAAAACAATTACCCTTCCCCTATCCCTCCACCCACCCACCTCTACTCCACTTGGTGTTATACCCTACCATTAATACTTACATTAGACACTTTTTAATTGTTATTTGGTTAAAAATTTATAGAGTAAATTGGTTTTTGACCCATTTAGGCATATTTTGTTTAGTGATGTTGACTGCAATTCTTTCAATATAATAATATGCTTCCCACTTCCTTAGTTTCCCATTTCTGTCTGTCTTTCTTTGCTATTCATTCTTGCCTTCTGAGCTTTATCCCTGGCCAAATGCTGCCCTTCTGCTCTTGTATGGTTGATTGTTCTAAAGAATGCACACCCCTTCGTGTTATGATATGACATAACACACTGCCATCTGAGCAATTTGACTCATAGTGAACCTACATAGGCTATCTGAGGCTCTGAATCTTTATGGGAGTGGACAGCTTCATCTTTATCCCTCAGAGCAGTTGGTTGGTTTGAATCTTACAGTTTGATGTTGACTCTATTGCATCACCATTCACGGTATTGTTTGGCTGAAAGTTCGGCCATGGGAATGAGGTCTGTTTGAGGCTCGAGGGGTGACAGTGCGCCATGGCCTCAGGGTTATGCCAGGACCTCTGAGCCCTCTACGTCTGATCTTTTGTGTGAATCTGAAATTTGTTCGACACTTTCTTCCACTCTATCCAGAATTGTTATCTCTTTCGGACTCGTAGGTTGTTTTAATCTGTGCATCATCGAGTTCTGCTGGATCCTAAGATTAAGTTTAGTCCTTTGTGCTATTATTTTTTACACAGTTTTAAAAGTTTTCTTCACTCTTCTTTACTCTGGACCGGGGAGAGGCCAGGATTTGCATCATAGAAGGCCACTCACAAGCTTTAAAGTCCCCCTTTACTACTTGCCAAAGCAGAGCATTGTCTTGGTAAAGTATGTTATACCAATTTACATAGATGTTTCTTGAGACAATGGTCCTCAGCTGCTGTGCCCAGTGATGCACTTCCTCTAGGGGTTTGGCTCGGGCTAATATGTTCTCATAACTTTGATCTCTGCATGAGCTACATGGATATATTTGTTGAAGTGAAATCAATACGAATCATAATTAGTAATACTTATGAACATGTTTAATAATTTTCTGAATGCTTGTTCAATACAATAGAGAAAAAAATATTGAAAGCTAACGGTTGGAGCCCTGGTAGTGTAGTGATTATGAGTTGGGCTATGATCCCCATGGTCAGCAGTTCGAAACCACCAGCAGCTCCATGAGAGAAAGAGTAGGCTTTCTACTCCTGTAGGCAGTTACTGTCTCAGCGATCCAAATAAGTCAGCATTGACTCGATAGCCCTGAGTTTTTTCGTGTTTTTTTTTTAATAGTAGGGTTATATAATTCTGTGTCATGCCTCAGGTGTTTCCAAAAGTACATTGCTGGACAGACATGAGCCAACAACTTTATGATGAGGCTTTTCAGGTTTATTTGAACTCATATTAAGTCCTAAAACCAGTATAAATTAAGAACGATATATATATTTAATATATACTTAATTATTACATGACACACAATGCCGAACCTAAAATTGGTTTTTCCAGAATGGGAATGCTGAATACTTTCAAGGTTTAGAAGATTTTTAAAAGAACTCATCAAAATGCATTAAATGAATAATTGCTGGTGTAAGTGGTAGAGAACCCTCAGAAATAAAAGTCCCATTGTTAGTCACATTTCTAATACATTAGAGTAGTTATGGACATGTGCATGAGTATTTGGCAATGAAAAATCCAATAATATAACTCATCTTTCCTCTGAAAATGTCAAAGACTAAATGATAATTTTAAAAAGAATAACATTGTGTCTGTATCAGAACTTAGATTTAATCTATATCAGAAATTAAAATAGCTGAATTCATGGAACCTTGAAATACTAATATTCATTGTATGTAAACTAGCCTCTTTAAAAAGGTAAAATATAAGAGGAATTTTATATAAATGCTTATTTTAAATATGTTACCAAATTGCTATTAAAACTTCATTAAACCAAAGTAACCATAACAGTGGAATATTTTGCTTCTTATGGATTTGCTTTAATTTCATCAGCTGGAACCGAGACTTACACATGAATAACTGCTGGTGCTTGCAATAAGCTCCCTAGTTTTGTTTTGGCTAATGACAGTTCTCTATCATTCTTCCCATAAATGTATTTGATTTCTGTGTATTTCATCTAGTGAGTCCAGGTGTAGAGTCACTATTTACATTGTTGAAAATAGTATTTACAATAAAGAAGCCATTGGTCTCCATGAATTCTTATGTGATCTCCAGCTCAATTTTTATCACCAAGGTTATGTTTTCCAACTATTGACTTCTTCTCTTTGTTTCCCACTTTTGTAGTCCAGTTGCTAGTAATTAACCATTCAACTTGATGGCAGTAAGTTTTTAAATAATCAAGTTATCTGTGGAGCCCTGGTGGCATAGTGGGCTATGTGTTGGGCTGCTCATCCCAAGGCCAGTGGTTCCAAACCACCAGCTACCCAAGGGAGAAAGATAAGGTTTTCTACTCCCATAAAGAATGACAGTCTTGGAAATTCTGTAGGGCAGTCCTATAGGGTCTCTTAGAATTGGAATTGATTCTATAGCAGTGCATGTCACCTCGGACCCCAATCTTTGCATTTAAATGGAATGTTTGATCAACTTCAGACTGATGAAATTGGTAGACTTCTTCAATTTCTTCATCATTGGCCATAGTGGTCACTGCATAAAACTGAATTATAATTGTTCTAACTGGATTTCCTTTTAGGAGATTAGACACCAGACCATCAGAGATTGGACTCTACATGACAGATCTTGAAATATTCTTTTTTATTTTGAAAGTGATGCAATTTCTGAATTTACTGCACAAGTAATAATATGATTATCTAACTCAAACAACCAATTTTTGACTTTGTGCATTTTATTTCAGTTTTTATGATTTCTAGTTTTCCCAGATTCATGCTTCATATAGTCTACATTCTGATAATTAATGGCTATTTGCAGCTCCATCAGCAAATGAAGGTCCTGAAAGCTTTGTCGCATGCACATTATGAATGTCAAGTTTAATTTGAGGAGCCAGTTCTTCCCCAGGTAGATTTTGAGCACCTTCTAACCTGAAGGGCCCATCTTCTGGCAGATGTCAGGCCATGATACCACAGTGTCACTCATGTTAGCTGGGGCTGATCCCTCAGAAGGGGACCATTTCCTTTCTGTTCCGAGTCTACTCTTCATTTGGCCGCTTCACTAAAATTTATCCACATGGAATAA